CTGACACATCCTCGCCTCCAGCGCGTCATTATACCCCCGGCCCACATTCACCCACCCACCCACGCCACGCCTCCACTTTGAGGACTAGGGACCAACCCTTCGGCGCGCTCTGCCCCGAAGTCTTTCTAGACAGCCCGCACGAAGGCAGCGGCGACCCCCCCGCCCGCTTCGCCCTCACCTGCCGTCCCATCCGCAACTGCGGCTCCCCGACGCTCCAGAGAAGCGAGGGTGAAGGTTCCAGCCCACCGTTCTGGGCCCCGCCCACCGCACAGGCGTCGGGGAGGGAAGATTCAGGTAGTCTCGCTGGCTTCCTACGCCCCGCCCCCAACCACCCCATGCAGCAAAACGGTTGCATCAGGCTCCTCCCCCTCACTGACCTTTCTTCCCCCTTCACTCCCACTCCGGCGCTCTGCTGCCCGGCCTAGCCAATCAGCAGCGTTAACCCCGCCCCTTATCTGAGGTCCTTTACATATCCAGGAGTATCCGACTGGCCTTCGCCGTCCGATGTGCCTCTTGCGTGGCTTAGCTCTCAGGAAAAAGCACCTGGAGTCACGCCCACATCCGATCGCCCCCTTTCGTTCTTCAGTTTTATGAAGACGAAGAAAGAGGTGCGCATGTGCAGACATCGGTGGGAAAACAACTCGAGCGGCTTCGTTGGTTCGCAGCAGCCTGTCTTGTTTCAAAGCTGATGGAAGGAAACGACTTTCGCACGTCATAAATGTTGCCAAGCGTAGGATCATAGAGGCATAGATAGGATAGGCAGTCTAAAAGCACTTTGTTTTGTAACTGTATTTAGTATACTTTGATTACTACATCTTCAACATTTATTTTTTTGTCCTTTTTTACGGACTTAGGCTAAATGAAAATAGGACGCAGTAAGGCATTCTCTTTCACAAAAATAGTTTCATCTTATTGCCTCATATAATATAAAAAGAGGCATTTTACAGTGCAGCCAAGTATGTATGTACTAAGCCCTTTAGGCTGGGCTTTTGAACAAAATTGCTTAGCGTTATGCTATTAGGTTATAAATGTGTGCTGGCTCTCCTATTAGATGGAATGAAACTGCAGTATTCTTATTCTTAGTTGGAATAAGACTATTCTTATCCTATTCTTATTTCCTATTAGATGGAATGAAACAGTTGTGGCCACAAGCAAGTGCATTTAAAGAGGAAGAGCAACAGAATGGCCTCTCCTGTTTCTGTGAAGCCTAAGGCTGCCTTGCTATTTCCAATCTAACTTGGTGCCCCTTGTTGCAGGCCTATAAACCATTTTCCCCTGGCACTAGAGAAACTGTGATTCGGGTAAGGCCCCTAATGAATGAGCAAGCAGAGACAGGTATTATGAATTTCATGTGTACAAATGTTACTGCTGCATTGTCAATGCACTTTGCAAAGCATTCTTCTTATCCTGTTGCACAGCCCTGTGAAGTTTTTAGTTTTTTAAAAACCAGTAATACAGTATTTAGCGGTCAATATTTTATGTTCGATTGTATGTGCAGAAGGGGGAGCAGCCCAATGCACTGCCACCCCCAATTTCTTTGCTTTGCTTATTTAGATATAGCTCCTTGTCTTGTCTTGCTCTGATCTAGACCTCTGCATTTAATTAGACAAATTTTCCAGTTGTCTTTTGCTTTCCACCTTTGTTCAGATATTTCCAATGTATCAGCAGATGGTCGTTTCACCTTCTCTTGCTTTTTGCATTTTGGGTTATTTTTGTTTACTTCACCTTCTATGTCATATATTTCAGACCAGAGTTCTTTAGGCATTCTATTTTTTGAACATGATCCATTGATGTATTATTTATCTTTGCCAAAAACCATATGGAATACTACTGAGGTTGTATTTGTTGTGTCAACAAGGTGTTACAAGTCATCATAGAACTATTTAGCTTCCAATTCCTCTCATTCTGGTTGAAGCACAGACTTGAATTATCATAACATTGATTGGTTTCCTTGGATTCAAACTGAGATCAACCTGTCATTTTCAGGGTTGCATGTGGACATTGGTTCCCTTTTGATAATGGATAGCCCTTAAAAACATGGGTCTATTGGCCAAGGTGTGATGCCTTAGTATATGCAGTCAGCATTGACAATATACAACAGATGGACCAATGGTATTAAAGAGTTTCATATATTTCACTCAGTCCATAATTCATATTAGGACAATACCTTTATTAGCCTAACTCAGAGTCACAACCTAATGAGCAAGTTTTCAAGTTCTCAAATGTTCTTTATCAAGCAAAATGGTAAATAAAAGATCCTAGGGAAAGGGGAGAGAAAAAGAAGTGGCTGATATCTGCATTTAAAACTATGTTAACTTGAACCTTTAGGCAAATCACCTAGTTCCTTTAGTAAGTGAAAGCAGAAGTAGGGGAACATTTTTATTGAGAAAGTTGGGGATAATTTTATGTGGTGTGCTATGTTAAAGAAGAAAAATCACCAAAAGCCAACTTGAGTAATATAGTTGGAGGAAGTACATCTTCAAAGAATGAAGTTTCAGCTTCAAGTGACATGAAATTCTAATGTAGGATTTTTCTATTGAAATGGCTAAATTTGATATTCTTGGAGTCATATGAAAAGCAAACAGTTGAACTGGATATAAGGAAAGAAGTCATATTACAGCCAGTTCTTGGTCTTCTAGGTAGTCTGTTAGGTACTAAAACTTATCTAATTTCTCTGTACTTCCTGGTGCTTGTTTGTCTATTTAATTAATTATAGTCCAGTACCAGTCATAAAAAGAAATATAGCAGGTACAATAAATAAAAGGATAAAATTACATGAAAATCCTGAAACAATAACAAGGAGGAAGTACTAGATAAGTTCTAAAAGGTATAACTATTAACATTTTGTAGCCTAATAGGTTTCTGATGATTGATCAAATAAAAAAACAGTGATAACCACAGGAGCACTTGAAGCTATGTGATTTGATTGCCATTAGGAATATAATGGACATTGTAATGCTGTAGAAAAGGTTGTACAGGAGAACAACTGTGTTAGTCTAAGTGGCAAAAAATCAGGAGTCTGGTAGCACCTTTTCTAACTAACAAATTTTATTTAAAAGTTTAAGCTTTGGTGAGCATTTTAGACAGATTATCATTACCTTTTTAATTAACAATTCTAATGTTAATTAAAAACCCACTGTGTTTGTTGATACCTCTAAGACTGCCTGAAACCTTTTGATGTATGTGAGTTCAGCAACCTCTCATTCAATTGTGCAGTTGGTCCTGTTTTTCCAGAACAGTCACTTCGAGGTCTGCCATAGAATATCCTTTGTCAAATTTGTCAATCTGAATATCTAAGTCCCAAATTATGTGCTTTAATTCAGTCAGTGTTTTATCAAGGTCAAGGGCAGATAGTGCTATCAAGGAAAGGCCACAGTATACCAAATCATTATTCATTTGTCTCCTTAGGGTAGATCTAAACCTATCTAACAAGGAATCATAGACAAGGAGGTTCCCCAGAAGACTTGCTTCAGCCAATTTTAGTTGGCAGAATCTTACTCTGAGTTCTTCTGAGCAAGATGAATTCAAAGGATTGAAAGAAGGTAATTAATAACAATGTGGGTTTCTCTGACAGTCTGAAATATAACACAATTTTACCACTTACTTTTTGAGTAGGAAGCATTAACCCCAGGTTGTCCTTAAAACTTGCTGTACAGCCAGGATGTTTATCAGCTGTCAGTAGTTTGAAAAAAGACACAATCAGGTTGATAACCTGCATAGCTAGTTAGAGCAGGCATTGACTTCTATGATAGCATAGTTTGCAGGAAGAACAAGGGTTGGGCCCACATATATAGCAACCCTAACTGCTAATTCTGGAAATACATGTCTTATTGGATATTAAAACAAGAGCAGGCGTGTTTGTTGAAACTAAGTATGGAGTAATGTTTTTCTATGTTTAGTTTCAGTACATTGTTTTGGAACTAGATTCTGCCTTTTGTGCATGCACTATCGTGGCTTTAGCAACATGTACTACCACATTCACCATGTGGAGTCACCTGTGTCTTATAATATACCAGTACATCATTTCTTATAATTTCACAAAGGCAAATAAAATGTGATAGAGGTAAGATAGGACTTTTCTAAATCCTTATTGCAATCAGACTTGCCCCTAGTTTGGTGCTGACCCTGTCTAGTTTGTCCACATTAAATATAAATTCTAGGCTGTATCAGAAAGCTGTTACCCTTCCAAACTGAATATTGTATTCAAAGCACAATTGGATAACATTTATCCTGTGAAACACTGTTGTGTGAACTCAGCCAATCCATTTAAAAGCATCTGTATGCTACATGATTCTCTATTTCAGTTGGCTCAGGGCATTTGGGGGAACTAGTTCTTTTATCCACTGAGGCCTTCAGTCTCTCTGGCCCAACTTTCTGAAGGCACATATAGATTCCAGTCACGACCAAAAATTCTGCGTGACACAGATTAAGAAAGATCCTTCAAGCGGCCTGCTTTGGCAGCTATCCTCTTCTGATAAAGTATGACATATTTTATTTTTCTACTGTAAGCTTAAAGGAACGGCTACTATAATATTTAGGTTTTTATTTGTTACATATCGTTCTGCATTGTCCTTTGGGAGTTTAAGGCAGTGTACAGGGGAGTCTTCCTTCATTTTCTCCCCACTGCAGCAATCTTGTTGGGTAGGTTGGGCTGAGGAGAGAGTGTTTAGCTTAAAGAGAGCTTCATAGTCCAGTGGAATTTAAATTTTGGTCTTCCCAAGCTTATATCTTAACCTTTTCATTACACTTCCCTTTGGAGTGTACATGTTAATGCCGTTAACATAATTATGAGTAATAAATGATATTCTAGTGTTATTAGTATTAGCATAGTCAGTTTGGATGCTGGCAAATGGATTTGGCACAAACATAGCACTGCTTCTGGGTTTCTTTTCTCTTAATGAAAAAAAATCACAAAATATGTTTTACCTAACTTTAAAACACATCAAAATTAGCATTCAAGATATTGCTACATTTTCGTTCCCGCAGAACTTCTTTACATTCCGATCGGTCAGAAATACAAGGTCCAGATACATAAGAAATAAGGAAGAAACTGATTTTTTCCTTTTAACACAAAATCTAGATTAATGCCAATTTTCTGATTTACTTTTAAGGGGCACCAGCTCTTGCTGTGACCTTGCAGCTGCTAAGTTACTGTGAACTCCATTGTGTGCAGACACAATGAAAGTTAGATGCTAAGTTCACTGGTCAGCTACTTGAACTAATTGAGAAACTGCTTCACAGTAAGTATTTCAGCATCCTTCTTTACTTCTGTCTAGTCAAAGACCAGTATTGCAGACCACTACTGACATGCAGAAAGAGGATCCCACTATTTTCAGCCCACTTCATAATATTCTTTTTCTCAGAATTTCCCGTAGAGCATTCAAGACACTTAAATTTCAGCATAAATTTCAGTTTGCACTGCAGGTAAGCTTCAAGTACCTTTAAAGTGGGAGTAGAATGGTTCTATTAGCATTTTTCATTATCTTGGCAAGCAGGGAGCAGACAGATCAGTAGAAAATAAATTATTTTTCAAAATCTCTGAGAGAGATCCCAAGAAAGTACAATACCATTTCAGAGTAGTATATTCTGGAGGATACTATCCAGATACCACATGGCATTTCTGTAGCACACAAACCAGCTAAAGCCCTCCAAAACATCTTAAGTAAACCAAAAGACCCAGAAGCCCAAGAAGAAAAAACAGGAGTCTTCTACAACATACAGTGTAAGGACTGTAGCAACCACTGTGTAGGACAGACAGACAGAAGGGTAGCAGAGTGCATCCATGAACACCAACTAGCAGTCAGAAGACACAATGAAAACTCCTTAATCTCACAACACATGGACAGACTTAACCATAGTTTCAACTGGGAAACTGCCAGCATCAAGCTAAATCCAAAAATGCAAGGGAATTCCTAGAAGCTTGGCATTCAGACAAGACAGCCATCAACAGGCACATAGAGATAACATCTATACACTATAGAAAAGAGACAATAAAAGGAAGCAAAAGACCAGAACATCTCCTCACCAGCAATCATAATCCAGATAAGCAGAGATTAACACCAAGATTATCACCAGACATACAATCAAGCAGTAAAAAATACCTTAATCAAGGAACTACCCGGGGGGCGGGGGGGGGGGGGGGGAACACCCCCCCCAACACTGGCAGGGCAAG